CTTCCACAAGCGATAAACTCTCCTTTTTTTCCTGAGTCCCACCAAAAGCTCCCCGTTCAGCCAGGCCGGTCGTCTGCCCCGCCCGTTCTTCTTGCGGCGTACAGGGACAGCCTGCTCCTGCGCCTTTAAGACTTCCTTCTTGAAGATCGTCCAGCCTTCCTGGACCCCTTTGCCCTTCAGGACTGTCTCCCAAGGGACTCTCTCAACCAGCGTCCTGAACAGGCCAAAGTCCGCCCTCCAGAAGTCCATGGTTGCGGTTTTGCTGCCTCCCCTCCTTACTTCACCAAGAATCAAGAATTCTATCATTTCATGGTCGCTAAGCCATGCCTTCTTTTGCTGTCCTCTGCCGCTTCTCAGCATCACGAATTCCTAAGCCGTTTTGGAAGGAGCCTAAGATCTCAAACCTCCCCCCCATGATGTATCATCCTCTTACATCCTTTACTGATTGCTCATCCTTAGCCAATACTTTGGTCGTCCAAGCTCATTTTTGTGTTAGTATTTGACAACGGGGCACTGGCGTCTCGGCTTTCTCTTTACAGACTGCATTTGCCCCCATTTTTCTGGGCATGGTTTCATGAGAGCCTCAAGCCAACATAAGGGCGGGGTGCTGATTTTTCCCCTTTTTCCCCCGCCCTGTTCATCCCGCCGGTGGACCCGCTCTCGCCTTTGTGTTAACTCCCGCATTTACGCAGCCACCTGCTGAGCTGGCTGAGGGAACTGCCCTGGCAGAAAACAAGTTATTGTTTTGTCAGGCCAGTCTTAAGCCAATTCAATTTCCTTCGCTGGCTCCTCACGTTGCTCCGACACCACTGCCAGCGCAGCAGTGGAGGGCAGAGGCTGCGAACGTCCCTTTCAAGTGCCTGCACACGTTTGGGTCGGATCAAACTGCCTGTGGAAGCAATGCTTCCTGTATGCCTTTATCACATTGCCTCAAACATTCCCACTGACACCTAAAAATCAGCATCACTTCACCCTCCCTATCTCCCCTCGGGGTGCTCGTGTTCTGTGGCTCCAATCAGCTTGATTCTGTCCCATTGTCTCAGTGCCTCTGCCACAGACCCGGGCTGTCCCGAGGATGACGCTTCCTCGTGCATGTCAAAGCCTGCCCTAGTCAGACCTTTCCGTCCGTGTTACCCACTGCGTCTCCAAGGGAAAAAGTGGGAGAGCTCGCGGATTGACTAATCGGTGCTGTATAAGTAGCACAACATTGTCAAAACAGACCAAACCACCTGGCACGGTGTTTTTAAGATAGGGAAATCTATAATATTATTTTTCCAATATTCTGCTGCTGTGAAAATCTCTGAACGCTCACTCACGTACCCTCCTCCCTCCTGAGCTCTGGGCTTAAGCCAGGCTTATTCTTCCCCTTTGCTACCTTTCCTGTTGTCCGTGAGCTGCTGTCCTCTCGTTTGTGTGTTGGCTGTCGCTCCGGGCCCTTTCCGCACGGGCAGCACTGGATGCCGATGGGACTCGTTTAGGCAGGGGGAAGGTTCACAGTTTGCAGTGCTGCTGCTGTCCCAAAGGACAGGGAGCTCCGCAGGACTCCTGTCAGGGACGGGTTTTCAGGGTAGGAATACTTCGCAATGTCTCCACAGAAATTAAAACTACAAAGAAGTGAGTTTTCCTTCGTGAAGCAATGTGAAGAATTCTGCGGTGTTTTGTAGGTTGTGTTTAATGCCCTTTCTGTTAATCCGACAGAGCTGTAGGTTGCAGTAGTGAACCATTTGTTCAAACTCGTTTCTATCAAAGAACACGCAGGAGGGCCAGGAGATGTACTTGAACTCCGCTTCCTCTCCATCTGTAAAATATTTCTAAAAGCAAACGCAAAAGGATTTTTTTTTTTTTTAAGTTACAGGTTTTCTTCAAGAAAGTAAGAAATTGTCAATAACTATTTTCTAATTCACTTAGATAAGAAGAGGTAATAATTCCAGGAGCTGGGAGAGGTATTAGGAGATACCAGATCTCTGGTATATCATGCCAGAATGATCTGCATTCCTGTAAAAGCAGAAAAACACTTGTACAGACAAAATCGCAGAGGAAAGCTAAACAAAAACAATAGCGAATTCAGAAAGTGGGATGGGAAAGATTATTCTCCTTCACCAGAAGAAAAATATCAGAAAATGAGTTAGCATGAAGGCGTGCGAGAAGTTCATCAAGCGTAGTGTAAAGACTCTGGTTTTTCTTCTCTCAAATCTGTTTTCCCACTGGTTTAGCTCACCTTTCGCCAGCTCCTTCCTTGGCACTGTTTCGTTGAATATCTTCAGGTCTTAATCTAGCAGGCCAAACGCAGCGGCATAATAGTGCAATTTATACTCATCGTAGACCCATCTGTGTAAATTGTAGTCGTACATCTATTATAGTCAGTCCAATGTTTCTATGCCATCTCAAACGCATCATCTGGCAGACTTTCAGAGTCTTAAAAAAGATCAAGTTGTTAAATTCGGCGTTACAAAAAAGAATTAAATCTACATTTTTAAATAAACAATGTATGCAATATAGATTTGGTTCTTTAAATAAGGTTAACATAAATCTGTGAAATTTAAATAATGTAAACATAAACCTGTGAAATTAAGCTTAAAGAAATGTAAATTACCTTGTGAAGTGGTAATGCGGACTAAAAGTGACTTTTGCTGCGCACTAGGTGTGTGTCTCTTTTTCTTTGCTACTGTCTGTGGCGTGATCCTGATCCTGACTTTCACTGTAAGCGCATACAGGTACAGCGCTGTGTTATTTATGGTGTTGAATCCCACCTGGAACACCAAGGATAGCATTAGGAAGGCTGTGTTGCAACATGAAGGACATTGCTCATTTCCACATTAATCCTGGTTGTTTTCAGTCACAATGGTTTGGTTTATATAACTAATTCAGTGGCTTCCCTTTCAAAGGGAGACCGTGGTGAGGAATCTTTGTGCCGCAGTAAGACAACAAGCAACTATTGAATAGTTCGGCTGGATGGTGACTCAAAAAGTTGCTCTTTCATTTGGCTTTCCCCTGCTGATTCTTTGTGGCCAGGCCACTGTGCCACCAAAACGGAGCTGGTGATAGATCTTAACGTTGGCTGGTTCCAATTAATACAATCTGAAAACTATCGTTTGTCCCCCTGTGTGTTTATAGTTAAAAAGACAATTATTTGTGAATAGTAGAAACTGACCCAGCACTCTAGGCACTAACTGGCTTACCAGACTGGATTAATCACGTTAACGATTAACATGCACAGAGGGGACGATGCCCGTGTTAAATGCGAGAAAGATCCAGGTGCTGCCTTTCGCGTCCTAATCTTGGGGATCTGTCCCATTTGCTGTCTCTACTTCTCCTGTTTCAAAATTCAATGTCCCTTTCTTCTGTCACCTCGTGGTGCTGCCGCTGTTGCTGATGATTGTTGGAAATACTTTTTAATACCTCTTTCAGCAACATTTCCAAGACAGCTACAGCCTGTCTGCATGAGGCAATACGAGGCAGCTGGAACTGTTTCATCCTCTGCTAGCTGAGGTGTGAAGGACCAAGTCTCAAATTACCATGTCTTGTACGTTTGGGTGTTGTAAGGTGGTAGTAAGTCAGGTGTAAGTCAGGCTGACTTACAAAGTACTATTTGCATTTAAGTCGATGTTGTTCAGTGACGGAGTCCGTTCTTCTCGGGTCAGCTGGTTCCCCCCGCTTTTCCTCCTGGAAATCATCCTGACTTTGGCACTTGTCATCCTACATCTCCTGAGGACAAAGCTTTTCTCTTTTGTCATTGAGTGATTTGCTTCTTTTTACCTTGAGTAAACCAAAAGGGTTTGCAGAAAAGTTCCTCAGAAACAAATTAAATTTGTTCCTAATGATACATATTTATGAATTCTTGAAAACAAATTATTTTAATCATTTAAAACTGGAATATGTGAATCCTGGAGAAAATGCTACTAGGCAGAAAGTCTGGAGAGCAGTCCCCTCTTTGGAAGCGGAATGAAAAAGGGAACGATCTAGATGGTTTCCAGTGTGACTCTTCTGTTTCCCATTGCTGTCTCTTTGCAATAATACATCCTTTTCTCTGTCATCCCCCAGTATGAGTAATATCTAGAGGCGGCGGATATTGACGGGGTGTTTTGGCTTTTCCCCGGCAGTGTCCTGGACAGCCCCGGCAGGCTGGACGAGGAGCACAGGCTGATTGCCAGATACGCCGCCCGGCTGGCTGCCGAAGCTGGAAATGCAGTAAGTGAATATTCATCCCTCTTTACCGACCGTGGAATATGGAAGGTGTTTTTCAGAGTCTAATTAGTAGCTTAATGCTAATAGCTGCATGAAATTGTCATTTTTTGTTTATTCAGCTGATGCGAAGGAGCAGTATGCTTTCCTCATTTTCAGCAGAAATACTGTGTTCTCAGGCAGCAGGGGAAGAGCAGGGAAACGGGAAACGACAACACAAATTATTAGAAATGAGGTCAGAGGAGACAAGAGAATAAGCAGATTAGTCCTACTTAGTCTAGAGAAGAGATAAATATGTAGATACCTGAGGAAAACAAATCATGGAACAAACATTATGGAATATATTTATTCCAGAGGGAAGGAGCCTGAGAGAGAGAAAGGAAGGTCTTTTTTACATTTGCAGTCTCTTACAATAGAAGAAACTAAAGGAAACGCCCAACCAAATTTAAATTGGTAAAAATAAATACTGCTTTAACAGAATATCGCTATAGGAGATCACGGCAATTAAGAATTTACCGAAATTCCATGGAATAATTGCAGTCTAGCTGGATGGGGAGATACAAAAGGAGAGCAGTGTTTGCAGGAACAATCTTCCACATTACTGAGCGGCAGTGGATCTCCCTTGAGTTATGGCTGCCATTTTACGACATTTCCACCGAGTGTGCTGCTTAGAAGCAGCTTGGCTTAGCACGTGCTCAAAAACCTGGCTACCCTTTCTGTCTGTCGAAGGTGCGCACCCTTAGGCCTGCTGTAACAGCTTTGACCAGGCTGCTCCAACGTCTCTCCCTCATTGCTGCTCTACATGATCGCTGTTGCAAAACATATCATTATCCATATACCATTTCAGATATAGCCCTCGTCTTCCACAACCCCCAGCAGTAGCAATGACCTCTCCTAAGCATCTTACCACTATGGCAGAGTGTGTGTCCTGCCACATGTTAGCGTGGCTAGAGAAGCATCTTAACATCGGTGTCCTCATTCACCTTTTCATTACGTATTTCTCGTATAAATACTTTCAAGTCCTTTCCAGCAAGGTAGGCTTATGCGTCCTCATAATTTCCTTCAGTGTGTGTTCAGCCAATAGTCTGACTTTGTCATACGGATGTTACCAGGTATTTCCCTTTTGTAAAACTTTAATAAAAAATAATTATGCTTTTTAAACCTTTTTAACTGTCAGTTCCCATTATCTCTGTCAAACAGTATGTTTGCATTTCTGAAGTCATTCAGTTCACTAGACTATGTTCATGTTGAAATATTAAAGCAACACAGTGCAAACTTTCTGGTTTAGATGGAAAAGGAGGGGATTTCTGTGTAATCGTCATATAAAATTAAAGTTGTTGAGACAGAAAGTGCTGAATCAGTTTCACTCTGGAAGATGGTGGAAGGATTCTTACTCATGGCTTGACTTTTTCTGGTAGTAATAAAGAAGTATTATGAAAACTAAACAGTCACGATATTGGTTCCGAAAGAACCTGGTCGTTTAAAAATCTGTAAATCACCTCAACCTGTTTGCGTGTACTTTGTAGTTCTGAAAGAGGTCAAAAATGAAGCAACTTATTTGGATGTAAAGAAAGCAGCATTTAGACTTTACTGAGACTTTTCAAAGACCTGTGACAAATTAGTGCTTTCTTTTCATCCAAGTAAGTTGCATCGTAGGGTAGATGTCAAAGTGCTGCCAGGGATTGAAGTGTGGTAGAGAAAGGACGTAAGAGTAATAATAGGGTGTTTCCATTGCGACTGAAGCTTAGCAGCAAGGAATCTAAAGGTTATTTACTGAGTCCACTGTTCGTTCACAGTCCAGAAATACTAATCAGCTGAAATGAATATATTTTTCATATTCTGAAGGAATCTGAGTTTAAAGTGCTCTGCTTCATGGCAGATTCTAATTATTTCTTGCCAACAGGAGATCCCCCTTCCCTAGCCAGCACTTTGAATGACTGCTGTCCAAGTTGGCCATTGCAACTTGGTGGAGAAACATCCTGCTGAGCTCTGGGATGGCGTGCCGTGGCTGCAGGGCTCGCTTCTGAGGATTCGCTGTTTGTGGGAAATGGAATAGCTGAGACTTTTCAGCCATGGTCTTTTTTTTAATACTCTTCTTATAACATTAGAACAGAGAGACGGGAGTAAATTAGAGGCTGGGAAATTCAAAACAAAAAAACGGGAACCATTTTTTCTTCCCGTATGGAATTAAAATGGGGAACATCAAATAAAAACCCCAATATAATAAACGTCTCAGAGATGCAGTAGGAGAAAGATGCTTATTGAGTATGTGGCGACCAGGCCACCAGCTTTACAGGAATGATACAGTAGGATGTGCAGGCAAGGGAACGGTATTGTACATAAAGGAAATACACAGTGTAACAGCATAAAAATATCACAGAAAAAAGAGAAGAACTGCAGAATCCTTCTGGGTTGAAATTCGAAATTCTTAATAATAGAAAAGAAATACTGACCCCCTCGTTAGATGGTAGTAGTGATTGGGAAATGTTAAGTGAGATAAGACAAGCTGCGAATTTAGGACAGGTAAGTAACAGTGGGAGGTTTCAGCTACCCACATAGAGACTAAATCAGTGCCTTTCCAGAGGGAGATGCAGAAACACTTTGGAATGCAATAAATGCTGCTTCTTTGAACAACTAGTTTTAGAATCCACAAAAAGATGTGCTCCTGGATTTGGTCCTGAGTTTGAGTGGTGTTAACTGTGCTAGCTGATCTGTAGTAGTAACCATCACACACTTAGCTTTAACAGCAGGAGAGAGCACACCAAGTAAATCCAGTATGCAGATACTCTGTTTCAAGAAAGGGAACTATGTAAAAATGAAGCTATTAGAAAAAATCCTAAAAGGATCAGTCCAAAAAGCAGGAAGCCTGTAAGCTGCCTGGATACTGTTAAAAATCCTGTATTAGAAGCTTAGGAAATCTGTGTGTCAAAATTCAAAAAGAAAACAAAACCATACAAAAAACTCTTTTCATGGGGCAATAAGAAAGCTAAGGAGGATGTCCCAAGGAAAGGATGGCATTCAGGAAATGGAGAGCTTGCCCAAATGGAAAGAAAAAAAAAGCCTGTAAACATGGCTGGTTAAATGTTAACAGGAAATTCAGAGATGGGAAAAGAATTTGAAGAGCACTCCACAAGGGATGCTGAAGTCTATGGTAAAAAGATTTTCAATACCATCAAGAGTAGGAATCTAACTAGGGAATCAGTAAGACTTTTTGGTGACCAAGATGTACAAAAGAGTAGTCAGGAATGAAAAGACCATAGCAAAGAAGCTCAATGAGTTGTTTGCATCGGTCTTTACTGCTGAAGGTGCATCACGTAACGTATTCTTTATAGCAGATAAGTTGGAGGAGTCAGATGGGTTCAAAATAAATACACAGGAACCTTTAAAACAGGTAACACATAAGTCAGTACGTCACTGCAGCTGCGTGGCATTAACTTGAGAGTCCTTGACAGGCTGGAGAAATGAGCTGACAATTCTAATGAAGTTCAACATAACCCAATGCCAATCCTGCATCTGAGACAGGGTTACACCATGCAGCAGTGCGGGCTGAGGGCCCACGGGCTAGAAGGCAGCTCTGCAGAAGAGAACCTGGGCGTCCTGGTGCAAAGCAGGAGTCAGGAGTGTGCCCTTGCAGCAAAGCAGCCCACCACTGGCAAGAGTGCAGCCAGGAGAGTGAGGGTCGCTGGCCAAGGGAGGTGACTTTCCTCCTCTGTTCAGAGCTGGTGAGGCCACATCAGCAGTACTGTGTCTGCTTTGGGGCTCCACCGTGCAAGAAAGACATGGACACGTTGGAGCAAGCCCAGCAGAGACCACTAAGGTGGTTGGTGGTTGTAGTACATGACATACGAGGAGGGGCTGAGAGAGCTGGGTATGTTCAGGATGGAGAAGAGAAAGCAAAGGAGGATCTTACTGCTGTCTGCAGCTACCTGATGAGCCAAACACAGGGGGGACCTGTCGGCCAGCCAAGGTCAACCCACCACAGACGTGCACAGTGAAAGGACAAGAAGCAACAGAAACAGACAGAAGTTGCAAGAAGGGAAATTCCAACTATATATTAAGAAAAACTTTTTCACCATGGTAATGGTCAAATATTGGTGTCCAAGAGGTTGTCCAGAGAAGAACTGGAACATTCCTCCTTGGAGGCATTCAGAGCTCAACTAGACAAGTTCTTGAGCAACCTGCTGTGAATTGGCCCTGCTTTGAGCGGCGCATGGACTAGAAACCTCCAGAGGTTCCTTCCCAACTATATTTTTCTATGAATCTGGACCTGAATGAAAGTAGAGAATGGAAACAAGCCACCATAAAGGAGTTATGGAGTATTTGTCAATGGAGATTTTAAAACCAAGATAGACCGGTATCTGCTGGGAATACTTGAGAGAGGTTGATGTAACCAAAATTCGTTCTTGATGTCCTCTCCAGCCCTACCTCTCAGATGTAATGTGCTTTATTAACATGCTCTAACTGCTAGAAATTAAGAGGATCCCAGATACAGACTGTTCATACTACAACAGCCTAGTGCAAAGTTTCTTACGCTTTTCTTTGAAGTAGTTGGCAGTGGTCGCTGCTGGAAATTGTCCATTGGACTGTGTGGCAATGGATCTGACTCAGTCCATCAGTTTCTGCTTTTTGTCAAATTAGATCAAATGTTAGAACTGCCTTCTGCAGGCTTGTTACTATAATAAATGTCACTCGCCATATGAATGCAAATACATTCCATTAACATTTTTAGGGGAAATGCCTTTGCTTGAAGACTTACTGGGACAAAATAACTTGAGGCAGACCTCAGAGTTACTTCTTGAAATCCAAGTCTGTTTCTTCTTAAAGAAGAAAAATAAACGGGGAGGGAGAAGAAAGGAGAATGCATCATTTGTCACTTGATGCATGCGAGCTGCTCGGTATTGCAGGAGAGGCTGATGGCATGCAATCAGTGCAATTACGCACTGCTGGACAGCGGCTTAGTCTGTGTTCGCTCAAACAAGCTCTGACTGGGCTACTTTTGTTTTCTT